TAAGTACTAAATTATGGGAGAAATAGGAGAAAAAATAGATGAGAGCACCAAGTCAACAATCTCGATACTCCCAAGTGTTTTGTTCATAGCCCTCTTGAACATGATCAAGAAGGACGCGACGCCGGTTTTCACAATAGCGAGCCCGGTCCTGCACACGCTGCTTGATAAGATTGAGACCGAGGCTAGTTATGTCGCGTTCGAGAAACTCCGAAAGTTGTTCAGTCGACTGTTCAAGATCACTTTGATTTGACTCAAAGATAACAGTTTGGTTATTGTCTTTCAGATAAAAGGCAAACACATAGGTGTACATCAGAGTGCGCCTACATCGGCAAAGCACTTCAACAGCCTGCTTGATGAATTTGACGTCAATCCAGGACATTCCTTGCGCCTGCATCTCCTCCATCTTACGCTGAACGCTATCATTCAATTTTGCTTCAAATCGCAATGACTCCTTGTGATTGGCATACCGATTGAAGTAAAAAAGGTAACGCTGCAAGGCGGCACGCGACTTTGTCTGAGCATCACGAGACTTCTGGGCTTGAGTTTCATCATACCGGTTGCAATTATACCACTGCGAGCCATGCGGTTCCCAACGGTCTAAGCAGACCCAACAGAAGTCGTATTTACAATTAAGGTTTTTGCAGGTCATATGATTGCAGCCTCCATTCTTCTCGATCACTGCTCGACATTTTGGACACTCCTTTGTGTTGGCCACGATCCAAGTAGATGTGCCGGCATCATCTTCGATGCGACGGAGCCACTGGCGAAGCCGATCGCAGAGTACAGGCTCGTGCCAAGGCTGGCCGCAGGCGAAACAAAATGATTCATTACAATTAGAGCAGACAGCTTGACGAGCACGTGGACCGCCCAACGACCGCACTGCGTAGCCGCAGTCAGTGCCAGGACACCAAGTAAGAGCGCGATTATGCGCCACAAAGCTGTTGGTAATCAGCTTCTGGAAACGTCGGCGGACGATTGGCTGATCCTGAATAAAGCGAAATACGATGCTATCATCAAGAATTGCTTCACAGTTAGGTGTTGGGCAAGATATTCGGTCGCCTTGATTCTCGTCCATTATTTTGCAGACGATATAGCGCTGCCAGCAGGACGGACAGTAGCTGTGTCCACAATCCAGAGAATTCGATTCTTCTGTATGTAATGAATATATGAGAAAAGAAGGAAGTAAAAATAAGTACTCAGAAATGTTTTTGGGTGAATAATAAAATAGAAAAACAACTTTCTATCAAAAATAGTAACTCATTAGATTATGCATTTTTGATCAATCATTTCCAATATGTGGCAGTTCACAGGTGTGAAAGTGGATATTTTTTCTGTGGTGTTGATAAAACTTTTTACAAGTGGTTTGATCTCGCTTTCGCAATTTGGTCGTGTTGTAGAGTGATCTAGATGCAAGCACCTCAGAAGTCCTTTGCTATAGTAGCTATGCAAATTACATTCGACGGACAATGGAATTGGTACGATGGTAATTAGTATAACTACTATAAGAAAGGAATTCAGACAAAGTGCCTTCATCTAGGTCGCTATGACAACACAACCAAGTTGCGAAAACTAGATCAAACCACTCCTATACAATGAAAGACTGCGACCAAAGACTTTTGCGTGTTATATTTGAAAGCTGAAGCCCACACAAACGTACCCGGGTAAA